GCTGCTTCAGGTGAAGAGACCACAATGGTTGGGATCTGTCCAAGCCGTAGGTACATGATGGGTCCATATTTGTTGGCCAGAGATTGAAGGCTGCGATGTGGTAGTGTGCCTAACTGGTGGGTGTTGCCGATGACAGGAAGGGCCAAAGGTCCTGGTAATGTATTATTATGAAAGTTCCAAAGGGAAATATTAATTCTGAGAAAGTAAGGGGAAAAGTTATCATCTCCCAAGATTTTAAGTACAAAAACTGATAATAAGCATTAAGTATAGTCGCAACAAGAAATAAAAGATAAATACCTGGAGGACGTTTCTTGTGTTTATTTGGACTCAAGAAGATAGTAAGAATGTAAATGAACATGAGAAGGAAGAGAGCAGGAATGGCTATTGTCGAAGGAATCATGTTTGTGTGTGGCGACTTCTTAGTGATTAGCACTGAGAAGAAATGAAGAATGCCTTCGGCTCTCTGGATAGTTTCGTAGATAATGATTTAGACATGACATGAATGCCTTTGGTCCGGAACTCTCCTGAAAAAGGTGATATTTCAGTTCGTGTGGTTAGAAAGCTGCTTGGCTTATGGATGTTAGAGGCGGAACCCGACGGGCTTAATTAAAAGAGTCAGTCATCGCCGAAATTTTAAAAATATTTCAATTTACTAAACTTGACGGATTTACGGTCAGTCCTGAGTTTTCGGCCCGTTTAAAAAGACGTTTAAAAAGAAGAAGCTATTTTTCATTTTTTTATTTTTTATCAAAAAATAAAAACAAACCAATGAAATTATTAATAAAACATATAAATATGAATAAACTTAAATCATAAATATAAAATATCATCATATCTAAATATCTATCAAAATCCAAGAATATCTAAAACATCAATGAACAAGATAACAACATCTAAAAGTTTCATCAATAGTTCAAATGTGCAATAGACAAATACTATCATTAATTTTTTAAAATTCTATCATCATTATAATCAATTCCTCTTTTTTCCGAGCAAAAATATCACAGATTTTATTTTTTATAAGAATTTCGCTTTTAAATTTTATAGTCTAACTATTATTTTACTTTAGTTTGAGAAGCATTATTGTTGAAACTCATGCATTTCCAACTCAAATTATAGAATCACAAGTTATATAAGTATAAAAATACTCTTTTATCAAATATATATAATTTAAAAATATCACCAAATATAATATAAATCAAATTATTATTAAAGCCTAAATTAACCCATTTGTTAAAATTTAATTTGGACAAATTATTGTCTAAGATCAAATAAATCAAACCATTATGTGAAATTTAATTTTAAAATGATAATAATAACTAAATATTTGAAATATTATTAGAAATATAAAAATAATAATATTATAATTATACAAAAAATTTATAAAAAACAAAAAAAAAATATAAAAGGACCTAAATAGGCTGACTCTCGACCTTGCAGGACCAACCCGTTTAAGTCATCAGCCCTATAAAGCCAATCTTTTTAAGTTTATTTCCTATTTGAAGGAAAAAATTTTAAACCCAATCCTCATATTTTTTGGACTTGCTCATTTTCCCAGCCTTAATAGATGAGTTAAGTTAAATGGATTCATAGATCCGCGCCCAAATTTTAGGAATCAAGAGAATCATCTTTTACATTTCTAACTTTTAGTTAAAATTTGCTATGGGCTTTGATTACTTGGAGTATCATCACTTAAAAAGGTAAAAGATTATTATTCTTGCTTCTGCTACTTGTCTATGCTATACTTCTTTTGCCCTTTTGTCATATGGTATTGTCAAAGAATGATGAAGTTGATATTATGTAGATGAAATTTACTGCTAATGATTTTTTTGGGATTTAAATGCACACAGTACGTAATGATAAAATTGCCATGTGAATGCTGCCACCACCATGATTGTACGAAGTTTGGCCAAAATATCTATCATGTCGTGTTTGGTCATCGCACATGCATGTGGCTCAGATCAAACCATTAATAATCGAAATTGACTAAAAAGGTGCTTGAAATATTTTCGCAAATCAAAACAAATTTCTCTATATATTTTTTTATATACTGTAAAATAACTTTTAAAGTTATGATTTGGTTTCTACTCAAATACCTCATAAAGTTTACTTTTCATATAAGTCGCTTCTTAAAAGAATTTTTTTAATCTACATTATAAGTTACTTGCAAAATAATTAATACTTATTTATCAATTTTATTTTTATAATTAATGTTTAAATATGATTCTTCATATTTTTTTCTCTTCTTCAACTTAAAACCCCATCTAATAATGCAAATTAAGTTGGAAAAAATTTCAATTGAAAATATATTTAATAAGTTGACTATACTCTTTGAGTTCTCATAAATTAATTAGAAATGACTTATGTTGCGAATCGGATGGAATATCAATTAATATTTACATCAATGGCCAAGCAACAATGAAATGTTTAGCAATTGTGGTTGTAGGTTACAAGGGTAGTAAGATTTTAAGTTGCCAATTTATATTAATTAAACAACATCAACACATTGAGAATTCCTAACATGGGTATAATTATCAAAGTAAGCACCATAATGTGCAAACCCAAACCACATTTTACGTAAAGACGCGTACACGTATACTAAGTACTTAACCAACATTAAAATTATTCATCATAAACTTTTGAGGGTATACGATGAGCTGGCACAGCCAACAATGGCTTGGCTCTAATGTTTCAGTCATGTCCATGTCACAAGGCTTCATCCCACAAGGTAGCTCCCAATTAAAACAGTGAACTAGCTGGGCTATCACCATTTTAACTATAGTCAGACCCAATTGGATTCCAGGACATTTTCTGCGACCCGACCATGTTTGTGTGGTCGAAGGAAGAAAGCAGGAATGGCTATTGTCGAAGGAATCATGTTTGTGTGCGGCCACTTCCTCGTGATTAGTACTGAGAAGAAATGAAGAATGCCTTTGGCTCTCTGGATGGTTTCATATATAATAATTACTTGGAGCATCATCAGTTAAAAAGGGGAATGATTATTATTCTTGCTTCTACAACTTGTCTGTTGTATACTTTCTTTCCCCTTTTTGTCATATAGTAAGTCGGAACATGTCAAAGAATAATGAAGTTGATATTTTGTAGATGAAATTTAATACTAATGGTATTTTTGGGATTTAAATGCACACAGTACGTAATGATATAATTGCCATAGGAATGCTGCCACCCACCATATATGATTGTACGAAGTTTGGCCAAAATATCTATCATGTCTTGTCTGTTCTTCGCACATGCATGTGACACAGATGAGATCATTAATAACCAAAATTGACTAACAGATAAAGCCCAAGAGTTCAGATAAAGCCCAATCGATGGTCCAAGCAGTGGCTTCGAATGAAGCAAAAATGAGCTCTAATGCTGTACCTTCGATGTTGTGACGAGTGATCACAAGGTTTTGTTCATCATCATTCAAGGGTTGGTGCATCAGCGGGAGTAATATGTGTACCAAGTCATCATTCTGCTTACCTTTTCGTTCATTAAAAGCTTGCTCATACTCCTTCAATATTTTCTCCAACACTCCATCAAGTGCTTCACTGGTTTCCTTCAACTGTCGTGTTATTCCGTGACATTCATAGATTTGATATGACAAACTAGAGATAATGAACTAAGAAACGTATGTTTTTGGGGGCAACAAGCGTAATAACGTGTGCGTTAATTTGTAATTCCAGTCACATAATAAAACTTTGTATGTTTTTACTATACCTGAAGATCAAAAGCCCCTAATGTTGGCACATAATCTGCAAGATTATAAGCACCATCCAATCTCATAACTAAAACTTTTCCCAAAAAAAAAAGTTATTAAAGTTGTAAAAATACCATTTTTTGAATTTTTCAGAAAACCTGTTATTAAATGTTATACCAAACTTATTAATAGAGTTATAGAGTTTGTTAACAGTTTTATTAAAATTGTAAAAATATCATTTTTTGAATTTTCTGAAAAATCTATTGTTAACTGTTATACTAAATTTGTTGATAGTATTACAAAACTTGTTAATCGTTTTACTAAAGTTGTAAAAATTTTCAAAAAAATTGTTACCGATGACCAGAACTCCGATAACGGTGGCCACCTGAGCTCTGGCAGCCATCGTTGGCACTAGAGCACCGGCAACCGGGCTGCTAGTAAAGGCATTTGATTTTTTTAAAATAATGAAAAAAATAAAGGGCAATATGATCATTTCAGTAAATTTATAAATCCCAAATTGTTAACTTGTACCTAAATTGGAATTTTGCAAATTCAAGTGACTTTTTTGGGATTTTCAAATTTAAGTGTTATTTTTGTGTCTTTTTCCCTAATAAAAACCCCCTCTTTCATATAATAATGCATTTTTTTTTACAAAGAAAAACATAATAAGGTTATAGTATAACCTTCAGGAACAGAGGAACAGTAACAATTTGAAGCCTACATGCCATTAGAAATCAAAACAATATGAAAATATTATTGAATATTAATTCCTCGATCGATATATATATATATATATATATATATGAAAGGCTAATCGTATATATGTGCACAATGTGAAACCCGACATTCAAACCAGTTTGTCTCTACTATACTTTCTCAAATGGGTCAGTAGTCAAATTGAAAAAGAATATCACCAGCCCATTAGTGGCGAACCAAGGTACAAAGGTCTTTGTATTTAATGTCTGAAAGTATTTCGAATAAGATTATTTATCTATGCATAACAAAAAAAAATCACACATATTTGTATATAATTGGAGAAAACAGAGTAACGTTATGCCATTGAAAGTTGATCAATAAATTAAAGGCCGCCTTAAAACAAAACGATACGACTTCTTTTTCGATATATCTATATATATATATATATATATATATATTACAGAAAGTGAGAACCGTAATATGTTCAGTGGGTTTTGATTAATATTAATGGCGGTCTGATGGAACAAAGTCTCAAGCTCTGCTTAACGGACACATTATTTCACAATAATTTGAAAAAAGCACCTAGTGTGCTAAATTCACCTCTTTTGCACTTCATATTCTTTCATAGTTTACACCATTTTCATTCATCATAAACCTCAGAAGATAGGCGACGAGTTAACTCAACTAACAAATGCTTAGATCTTGGCGACGTGAGGCCAAATGATTCGGTCATGTCCAAATCATCAGGCTTCATCCCAGAAGGAAGCTCCCAATTGAAGCAGTGTGCGAGTTGAGCTATCACCAGTTGAACTGCAGTTTGACCCAGTTGCATTCCAAGACATTTTCTGCGTCCCGAACCAAATGGTAGGAATTGAAAATCATGTCCTTGCAGATCTATGTTATTGTTCAAAAATCTTTCTGGATAAAACACATCAGCATTGTCCGACCATATCTGAGGATTCCGTCCTAGTGCCCATAAGTTTACTAAGATTCGTGACTTTTTCTCTATGTAGTATTCACCAACCATAACATCCTTTGCTGATGCTCGAGGGATGAATGGTGTAACAGGATGGAGTCTGAAATTCTCCTTCACCACCAAGTTCAAGTAATTCAACTCTGATAAATCCATCTCTTCCACCATTCTGTTCATTCCAACCACAGTTTCCAGCTCATCTTGTACATTCTTCATCACCCTTGGATTCCTCAAAAGTTCAGATAGAATCCACTCGACACTAATAGCAGCAGTGTCATATGCCGCAGAAATCAAAGATAGCATATTGGCCTTGATGTCGTCTCGAGTAATTTGATGAGTTTGTTCGTCATCCATGGGTTGATGCATTAGCGAGAGTAGTATGTCTATAAAGTCTTCATTTTTCCCATCCGTCTGGGTTTTACGAGCTTGCTCGTGCTCCTTTATTATCTTCTCAAACAATTGGTCAAGTACTTTGCTTATTTCCTTACATCGACGCCTTAGTCCCTGACACAGTAATCAGATTTGAGTATTGTCATTACACTCCCTTCCCTCATTTATTATAATCACTTGACTATATTATGTGATTTTAAAAAAATTAAAATTAGTTAAAAGTAATAAATATGTTGTAAATGTACTTTTTTTAATAAAAAAATACCCTTATTTATAAGTGGATAAGTGTGAGTGAGAAGAAAAAAAGGAGAGATTGTATGGAAAAAAGATAATGAGAGAGAGCATCTTCGTTACGGGTAAAATGGATAAAAATACATTTATTGTTTAAACAAATCCAAAAAAAAAATCTAATTAAAAAAAGACAAACAAATTAAAAAAAATTAGATCTTATAATAAAAGACAAAGAGAGTATATGTAAAGGACAATAGAATTTGGATCTTGATTTTTTTTTGCCAATTAACAGATACATTATAGGAAGGAGGAGCACCCTTATCCCCCTTGCTAGAAACGTGCCAATAGCAGATTGGGAAGACCAATAGAACCCCGTTCAATTCTAAAAATGCTTGTAGTGCTCCAAATTAGTTAGATGTAACAACTTAATTCGGTCAAATCCCTTCGTTTTAAATAAAAATAAAAACTGGCAATGAAAAAGCTATAAACAATCAAAGAAGAATCAGACATGGCATCCTTAATTTGATGTATGAAATCATCAAATAGTTCATGTTACCTGGAGATCGAATGCTCCTAACCAAGGTACGAGATCTGCAAGATTAAATGCTCCAGTCAATCTCAAAACTTCTGAAACGAGCCCCTTCAGATCAAACCGGTCATCGTTATTGCGTCCCAGTATAATCTTATAAACTATATCTTCTAAAAGCCCATGCACTTTCTCACTGATATCCACAACCACGCCCTTGGTAGCAGCATTCTCAAGTGATTTCACCAACATTCTTAACTCCTTCCTCCAAAGATGACCAAACAACTCTTGATTTGAAGCATTAAAAAGATGTTGGATGCTCAGTTTCTTCATGTCACGCCAGTATGGACCATATTCAGAAAAGCCCACACCCTTGGAGCCGTAAAATAAGTAATCAGTGGCCTGAGTATGAGGACGATTTGCAAAAACAGGGTCATGGGTCTTGAGGAATAGTTCGGCTGCTTCAGGTGAAGAGACCACAATGGTTGGGATCTGTCCAAGCCGTAGGTACATGATGGGTCCATATTTGTTGGCCAGAGATTGAAGACTGCGATGTGGTAGTGTGCCTAACTGGTGGGTGTTGCCGATGATAGGAAGGGCCAAAGGTCCTGGTAATGTATTATTATGAAAGTTCCAAAGGGAAATATTAATTCTGAGAAAGCAAGGTGAAAAGTTATCATCTCCCTAGATTTCAGGTACAAAAACTGATGATGAACATTAAGTATAGTCTTAACAAGACACAAGAGATAAATACCTGGAGGACGTTTCTTGTGTTTATTTGGACTCAAGAAGATTGTAAGAATGTAAATGAACATGAGAAGGAAGAGAGCAGGAATGGCTATTGTGGAAGGAATCATGTTTGTGTGGGGCGACTTCTTAGTTAATTAGCACTGAGAAGAAATGAAGAATGCCTTTGGCTCTCTGGATAGTTTCGTAGATAATGATTTAGACATGACATGAATGCCTTTGGTCCGGAACTCTTATGAAAAAGGTGATATTTCAGTTCATGTGGCTAGAAAGCTGCTTGGCTTATGGATGTTAGAGGCGGGGACCCGACGGGCTTAATTGGAAAAGTCAGTCCTATGGGACCGAAAATTTAAAAATATCTCAATTTGTTAAACCTAACTCTTAACGTGACGGGTTCAAGGTCGGCTCGCGGGCTTTCGGTCCATTTAAGAAAAAATACAATTTTTCATATTTCTCATTTTTTATCAAAAAATAAAAACAAACCAATGAAATTATAATAAAAGATATAAACATGAATAAAATTAAATCATAAATATAAAATATCATCATAATTAAATATCCATCAAAATCCAAAAATATCTAAAACATCAATCAACAAAATAACAACATCCAAAAGTTTCATCAATAGTTTAAATGTGTAATAGATAAACACTATCATTAATTTATTGAAATTTCATTATCATTATAATCAATTGCTCTTTTTTCTGAGCAAAAATATCAAGATTTTCTTCTTTATAGGAATTTCACTTTTAAATTTTATAATTCAAATTATAGAATCACAAGTTATATTAGTATAAAAATACTCTCTTATCAAATATATATAATTTAAAAATATCAACACATATAATATAAATCAAATCATTATTAAAGCCCAAATTAACCCATTGTTAAAATTTAATTGGACAAATTATTGTCTAAAATCAAATAAATCAAACCATTATTGAAATTTAATTTTAAAATGATAATAATAACTAAATATTTGAAATATTATTAGAAATATAAAAATAATAATATTAGAATTACACAAAAAATTTATAAAAAAACCAAAAGAAATATAAAAAGGCCTAAACGAGCTTACTCTCGACCTTGCAGGGTCAACTCGTTTAAGTCCTTAGCCCTATAAAGTCAGCCTTTTTAAGTTTTTTACCTATTTGAAGGGAAAATTTTAAACCCAGTTCTCATATTTTTTGGATTTACTCATTTTCGCAGCTCTAATAGGTGTGTTAAGTTAAATGGATTCATAGATCCGCGCCCAAATTTGCTATGGGCTTTGAGTACCTGGAGTAATGGAGTATCATCACTTAAGAAGGTAAAAGATTATTATTCCTGCTGCTGCTACTCGTCTATGCTATACTTCTTTTGCCCTTTTGTCACATAGTAAGTACATTGTCAAAGAATGATGAAGTTGATATTATGTAGATGAAATTTACTGCTAATGATATTTTGGGATTTAAATGCACATAGTACGTAATGATAACATTGCCATATGAATGCCGCCACCACCATGATTGTACGAAGTTTGGCCAAAATATCTATCATGTCGTGTTTGGTCATGGCACATGCATGTGACTCCGATCAAACCATTAATAACTGAAATTGACTAAATCAAAACAAACTTTTCTATATATTTTTTTATATACTGTAAAATAACTTTAAAAGTTATGATTTGGTTTCTACTCAAATACCCCATAAAATTTACTTTTCACATAAGTTGCTTCTTAAAAGAATTTTTTTTTATCTACATTATAAGTTACTTGCAAAATAATTAATGCTTATTTATCAATTTTTTTTTATAATTAATGTTTAAATATGATTCTTCATTTTTTTTTTCTCTTCTTCAACTTAAAAGTTAAAACCCCATCTAATAATGTAAATTAAGTTGGAAAAATTTCAATTGAAAATATATTTAATAAGTTGACTATTCTCTTTTAGTTCTCATAAATTAATTAGAAATGACTGATGTTGCGAATCGGATGGAATATCAATTAATATTTACATCAATGGCCAAGCAACAATGAAATGTTTAGCAATTATGGTTGTAGGTTACAAGGGTAGTAAGATTTTAAGTTGCCAATGTACATTAATTAAACAACATCAACACATTGAGAATTCCTAACATGGGTAAAATTATCAAAGTGAGCACCATAATGTGCAAACCCAAACCACAGTTCACGTAAGACACGTACACGTATACTAAGTACTAAACCAACATTAAAATTATTCATCATAAACTTTTGAGGGTATACGATGAGCTGGCACAGCCAACAATGGCTTGGCTCTCGCCATGGAAAAGCCAAATGTTTCAGGGTGTGTTTGGGATAGCGGTGTGACAGAAGTAACTTTTTTTCAATCTGACTTTTATAAAAGTAGATTGAGTAAAAGTCAGATAGTGTAATGTGATTTATGTTTGGATTGGACTTTGTAAAAAAGTCAGTTTAAGAAATTGAAACCTGTTGGATGATATATAAAAGTAAGTTTGGATGTAAAATGACTT